CTGCACACAAATGTCTAATTCGAAAAGTTTTGGCACAAGTTTTATACAGAAACAATCATACTTAAGTAAAAAAAGCGTTTGTTTTGTAATAAAAACAAACTGCGCTATATTTTTTGTCTTCAATAAGAAATTGCATTTTGTATTGTAAAGTCGTTGGTGGGTCGTAATGGACCATTGTTTAACGGTAAGTGGTCGAATGTTATCCACTCGGATTACTCCAGCTTTGACGTGAAAGGAAACCAGTGTTGCTCTTTTGTTTTGTTTCCAAGCACCGCGCATCGGAACATCCGAGTTGTTTGTTATCGTATCGGATCCGTACACCAAGCACTTTGTTTATTGTTCTAATCTGATCTTAAATAATACAATATCTCTCTTTGAGATAGGAATATTTTATATGATTGATATGAATCTTCCGCTCCAAAACATTGATTGGATAAATATAAAGCAGTAGAAAGTTATACTAATAAGCTAGCTGAAGCCCGCGACTCCGTCTGCGCGGAATTAAAAAACATAGTGAGTAACGTATGTGTTTCTTCAGACTATATTCTACATCTAGGCATAGCAATTGTCAGATAGATTCATGCAGCCGTTCTGGATATATCTTGTAACATCTATCCCTTGAAACATTCGCATTTATAACATCAATAATTTTTAAACATAATAAAAATATTTCAAGATTTTCCCGCCTTTTACTTGAAACTAAACAAAAATAAATAAATACACTGGTTATGTTGTGATATAAAGGTTGGTGTAGTTTTATATGATAGACGTGTTAATAACAGCCGCTACTCGCATAGCCGGATAAAGGCTCAATATGTCAATATTCTTGACGCGTGAAGCTAAGGTGAACTCACGATGCTGTCTGTAAGCCTCAAGCCTTCTGGAATCGCATGGCAGCGTTAGCATCCGCATTCTTACTACACATCGGATTTATCGACAGATAAATCTGGAAGAAGACTCGATAGTCTATGAAGAAATGGGATAGTCGTAGAACTTGTTTACGTTCCTAGTCGCGTCTAGACGGCGCGGATCTCCATCGGGCTCGGAGAAATTATGTGACGTGAGCGATGTTGGTACCCTTCTAAGATGTACAAGAAAATTCGATTTTGCCTTGTCAAATAAGACGTCCTAAATAAATGTTTATAGTGAAATCATCGTGTTTAGAATTCAATTCAGGTAGCGCTTTATCTATTCTGTTTTTTGGATTCGTGTTTTAATTTAAAAAATATATATTTATTTATTTTTTATATATTAACAGTTACAACAGATCAAATATGAATCGAATTCTTGAATGAATTATTTTATTTCCAGTTAAATAAATGAGTTTAGTAGAGATAAATAGAGTTTTATGTTTTTATTGTAATTTATTGAAAATGCTAAAGATTATTGTGAAAAGAAATTTATTCGGAGTTTACCGAAACGCTAAAAACGCTTTTTAAATGCTGAAAACCTAAGCTGGAAATAAATATAGCTTATGTCACTAGATAGTGCAGCTTTACGATCGTGAAAGAATTTAGTTTCGGAACCTATTTAATGCAAACAAACAAACATTCAAATCTTTCCTTTTTATAATGTTAGTATAAATGCAAAATAATAAAAAAATATTTTTATTTTTAAATATTATACAGCATTTATAAAACCGAAGAATATAACAATTAATATTACATTAAATTACAAAGGATAACTTGTGTAAAGGAAAAAACATATTTTATCTTTCTCGTTGTAGCATTTATAATTTATCTCAAGCGGACATAAATAAGAAAACAAAGGTAATCAGTAACATACTATAGGTTAATTGTTTTATTATTTTCTGTAGTCTATTTTAAAACATGCAAAAAGTTTAAAAGGATCGCTACAGCGGTGCATAGGTTACCGTTGTCCTCTTTTGCGAAAAACAAAAAGCTTTCCCGGTCAATAAAGCCCAGCGCAGTTACTCTGATACTCATTGTGAATGGATCCTGCTCGTATAATCCTGCATAACATTTTCATACAACTTTTATACGCATCAAAGTTGAGTGAATCAATTTCAATGATTGGTAATAAAACTGACGAAAGCTTTAATTAGTAGCTAATCAACGCTGTATGTTTTAATGTAAGTTCATACAATATTATTGGATTGAACTTGCTCTTTTAATTAATTAGTAGTGATTATAATTCGTATAACAAACCAAAATCTTACTAATAGTTATAATGCGGATGGATGTTTGTTTGAAGGTATATCCGAAACGACTGAACGGAACTCGGTGAAATTTAGGCGTAGAGCATAGTCTGGAAAAACAGATAGGCTAGTAATTACGTTTTTTTTTATTCCGTATTCCGACAGCTAGTATTTAATAATAGCAAAGTGGAAGTATGCGATTATTTAAGGTAAATTAGGTTAAAGTCATCTGTTAGATGTATGTTCTTTGTTAAATCTAAGCTTTAGATAACGCCAAAATACTTTAAGATAAATGTAACATTGTTAACTCAACTGTTACTTTCAACCGGCACGTATGTTCTTTGAAACCAGTGATAGTTTATCTTTGTTCAAACACTATTCTGAGCTGCGCTTAAACAAATTTGAGATATAAAATATGCAACTGTCTGTGGCAGCAAGGCACCGAGGTAGTCGGGACTCGTGAAGCAACTGTGTAGCTTTAATCTGTGTAATATAATATGTCACATACATTTAAATGCAGTATCGTATGACATAAATTCAGTTCCTGAATAAGACATTTTATTAACCGCTTGGCTTATCCTTGTTGTGATGTAATCATAAAATTATTTCTGAATGAATTAAAGTTAGCAATCTTTATATTTTAAGGGAGTTTGATCGAATTTATGACTCTTTACACATATAATAGCAAATAATTACTTAAAGAACGCTCTAACCCTGGGTTTAAGAGTCTAACATCTCCATTTGAAACATATTGTTATCACTGTGTTGTCAAATATAAGGACAGGGATGAGGATATGTGTCATACAAAGATTTTTGTGTCATAAAATCATGGTAAGTAATACAGATTATCTACTGATTTTGTGTTCAAGAACTTTTTCGGTCAATTAAACCGGACGATGTGAATATTGATGTATATTTAGATGAAGATAAATAAAATATAATAATTTTGATAAATTCAACATTGAGGTATAAAATAATATCGTATTACGCTAAAATTATAAACGTAATCCATTTTCATTTTGTAATAGCGTGTGTTAATTATTAAAAACATAAAGCAAACGAAGCCGAACATCATCGCAACGGCGAACAATGGGTACCGGGTCGTAGATGGCTCGGGAAAAACAATTTACGAAATCTAGATCGGACGGACAATGAGCTCTTTACAACACATGTGAGTAATTTCTGTGGCGTTAGCATCTTTTCACTGAAGTGAGAGTTGCTAAGTGGTGAAATAGTGAACCCACATTGTTCGCTATCGTTCACTCGTTCACTCGTTCTTTCGTTATCTGCTTCGTCTCGGGTCATCGCGTACAAACCTTTCACCTACGAACAAACGGTGTTGTAGCAACCGTTGCTATCTAATATAGCATGACACGCATCTACATATTTCGTTATTTTAAAGCCAATATTTGTAAATATACGACTATATACCTCATTTTCAGTTATTAGGGTTCCGTACGTCGAAAGGAAAAAAACGGAACCCTTATAGGATCATTTTGTTGTCCGTCCGTCTGTCTGTCAAAACCCTTTTTTCAATAACACATGCGGGTATCAAACTTGATTTTTTTTTAAATCAAATTCGATAAAATTTATAAACAGTAACAGGAAACAAATATGCGTCCTCCAGGACAATTATAAAAATTTCGAAAGTTATTCTGTTCGAACAAGTTCCCCGCCTAACCGCCCTCGGTGTTGATTTTAACAAGCAGTTGATTCGTTTATAAAAGACATCAACTTGACTTTGGTAAAACTTCAGACACCTCATAAATATTTACATCATAAGGCATTTCACGAATTTTCGCTATTATTGAATTATTATACGTCGTCTACATATGTGTGATTTAAATTTCCGTGTCATGCATGCCTTTGAAGTGTACACAACAAATTTGTAATCGTGGCAACGCTGTTATATATTTGTATATAATATGTATTTATATACATACTGCCTGTTGCCCGCGACTCCGTCCGCGCGGAATTAGAAACCTAATTTGTAGCCTATGAGTTCTTCCAGGCTACATCTTGGCATACCAAATTTCAGATAGATTCATACAGCCGTTCAGGAGATACCTTGTAACATCTATCCCTTCAAACATTCGCATTTATAATATTAGTAATAGTAAGATGAAATTAAAAAGTAACGGAACATTTTAAAGTAATATAAACAAAAATTGGAAGTTCTTAACAACACCTTTACCAGGAATTATCCTACACGCTTGGTTATTACGTGCACTCACGCATAAATTGAGTTGTTGTAATGTTCTCGCAATGTATTCAAAGCAAAGATTTGATACGTCAAAACAAACAACGCGATTGCCAGTATTTAGCAATATAATACATGAACTTTTTAACTAAAACATCTCTTATTACAATTATAATTTCTACATTCTCGAAACCTTGAAGCACAAGTTTCTTAATTTTAGCGACAGTTTTTTTTCGCTTTTAATCCTGTCACGACACTTAACGCTTATAAGGGGCTGAATGTATAGATAATATTTAAACTAATGTGACAAGATTAATTCATGCTAATGTTTGGATAGATGTTAGAAGGTAACTGCAGAACAGCTCAACGGATTTCGATGAAATTTAGCATATATGTAGAACATAGTCCGGAAGAAAATATAGGCATAGGACGGATTCGCAGATAAAAGCTAGGAAATTGTAGATTAATAAAGGAAAATACGAAATGCTTACATCCATTTAACTCTTCATTAAAAACCTAGATGATTGAATACAGAATTCTAATCTGAAACCAGGCGTTCACCATTTTGATTACAAAAGGCTTTCGGCATACGTTTACATATTCTCGCCAGTTAATAGATTACATGCTCATTGCATTTTAATTTCGATAGTAATTGCTTTTCCGACGTAGCAGTTAACTTCGTTACGAGGCGAAAGTAGACGTGTTTTGAAATGGAGGGACGTTTCATCACTTCACGCTCCTTCCTCATAATATTCGAATTTGTGAGTTGCGCCACAAATAATTGTTACCGCCTGTCTAATTTCACTTGAACATGGTTTGTAATTTGTTTCCCTGTGTTTAGGTGTACGTATTTACTTGTTTGTGTTCCGAGGAAGCAACGAGAGGTAAGTATTTGATTTATGGAATTTTGATTTAAATAGCTTGGATGTTAAATTTAGTTTAATCCAAAAGTCAAATTTACGAATTGTTATGATAACTCTGCATATTAAGCTTTTATAGTTTAATTATAGTTATTCTTACTAATATTATAAATGCTAATGTTTGGATATATGGATGTTTGTTGGAAGGTATCTCTAGAACGGCTACATGGATATCGCTGAAATTTTGCGTAGGTATAGAACATCTGGAGGAACACATAGGCTAGTAATTATTTTTTTTATTCCGTGCAGACGGAGTCGCGGGTTATAGCAAATTGCTTATAATCTCAATGAGCAAAAACTGGGAGTCTGGTTAATTGTGTACGGTTATGTGATTTCGTAGATCTTACTGGTTTAGTATGTTGATAAATGCAATGTCTGTTTCAGTAAGAGCAATCAACACAGGTATTTTTTTAACAATTAGCTAAACTTACATCATATAGTCTTCTAATCTGGCTGTCCTGATTAAAAATTGCTGTAACATAATTTTAATCAAGTTTCCAATTTGTTGTAAGTTGGACTAATGAATACTGAATTATTTTTTAATTGAATCATTAATATTACATGGCTAAAGAAAATCTTTTAGATACTGTCAATTTATTTAGTCATTATTATTACATGGCTAAAGAAAATCTTTTAGATTCTGTCAATTATTTAGTGTCAATGTCAATTATATTTAGATTAACCCTTCATGTAGTCGTAGTTTATAAATCATTATAATGTAATGATATTTTCAATGAAGTATCATACAAAAACACTAATCTCGTTTCACAAGACGTGGTCTATTCTGGTCATACGTAGTTTTATGCAAGTCCATAATATTTTAAATTAATATATAAACATTAAAATAATACAGAGCGTCGGTGGCTCAGGGGTCAAGCTTGACTTGACTTGCAATCTGCGAGTCCTGGGTTCGAATCCCGCCTTGTACCAATGTGTTTTTCCGTTTACGATTTACATATGTACATTTATTCGACGTTCTTACGGTGAAGGAAAACATCGTGATGCAACCTGCACATATCTGAGAAGAAATTAAAAAGATATGTGTGAAGTCAACCAACCCGCACTTGGCCAGCGTGGTTGACTATGGCCTAATCACCTTTAACTTAGGGGAGGCTACGAGCCCCTCGGTGGGGACGTATAGTGAGCTGATGATGTACTTATTTATTTTTGTTTATATTTCAGATCGTATGTCACGCTGCCCCTTGAAAGTAGGTAATAATGATTTACATTATATTGTATTTCGCCATTTCTAAACGTTTTTACGGTTTAACTTTTTTTTTAATAAAATTTTAACTAGTTATTGAGGACCATCAGGGATACATCATCATCTCTCTGGCCTTATCCCATTCACGTGGGGTCGGCGTTCAAGGTTTTATAAACCTTAAAGTTTTTGGCTTAATTATTTACGGCATGTCGCATACTCTACTTGGGAAGGGTCAGTAATAAATAAATAAGTAAAATTGGTTATATGACAAATAACTCAAACTTTCGTGGTACATTGTCATATACTTATATAGAAAACGACTGAAAGGTGCCGCGACCGGACGAACTTTATGGTTATATGTTTTTCAAACACATAACTAAGCAGGTGGGATCGTGGTCAAGCGGTAACCGAGCATTTGCCATTTAGTAAGTTTAAAAATACCGCGAAAATGTCATTGAATAACCTGCAAGTTCATAATCAGTCAGGACATCACCACAGATACGACGAACGGTACGTTTTTATCCAGGAATGATAAATCGTATATCCTTTTGTATGGAAGGAGAGGCAACTGTTGCGTTCTTTGTGGAACTCAGATCGGTTGAGGATTACTGGCGTAAACAAAGAAGCGAATGATGACAAAGCGAATATCGCTCCACTAGCATAGACTGGGTACAATGCTTACATTGATACAATGAGATTTTCACAATGGTGACGTCACAGCACTAATATACAATCTATTATAGTTCATTCAGATAATAGATAACCTATAAACAAAATATGCATTAAAATCTCTCCTAAAAAATCGAAAGAATTGTTCTAAGAGTAAATTTTCATTTCAAACCTCACTCTAATTTAACCAGTGGTAGAGCCCGCTTTAACATCTTCGCACGAATTGGCCCGGCTTGCCCGGTGAAATACCACGACCACACAGAAGACAGGCGTCAAGTGAAAGCAATTCCGCGTTTCGTCTGATGAGTGTGCGTCCCGGAGGCCTAATTTAGTCCTCTTTCTCCACCCACCCTTTTTCTTATAAGGAATGGATGGGAAGTGGATGTGGACTTTCCGGATGAGAGGATGCATGGAAAAGGAATATATTTTCTTTCTGTGCATCCTCTCCTCCGTCGATGAAAGGTAGGCAACGTATATGCAATTGCGTATGTCTATGAGCAACGGTCACTTCGCTATTTCAGCGATTTCAGGTGGCCTCTCGCTCTCTCTCTCTCGCCACATTATGATATAAAGAAAAACAATACGGTTATGTAGAATTTTAGCAATATAGGAGTAGATAAATCGATATCTAAATATTATAAAGAGTTATGTTTTCTTGTATGTAATATACTCGAAAACTATTGGACTGACTTCAAATTATTTTGCTATTAAAACGCTACATTATCACTGAGTAATATATTTCGCGCGGACGAAGTTGCGGGCAAAAGCTAATTAAAATGCAAGTAATGTATGTGAATTTGTTTTCGTAGGAGATACATTAACACCAAATGAGATGA